AAGAATTTGCAATTCCAGCACCAGAATCTATTATTTCCATTCTACCTTAAACCTCAGAAGCATGTTTCAAAATCACCTGTTTGGCTTTTGACACAGATTTTGAAGTCGCACCACTGAGTGATACAAGATCGACTTTAGCATCTTTTTGAAGGCAGGATAAATTTTGAACTTCTGAAACATCCATTATAATCTTCTTTCCCTTACCAATGCATTCCAATTGTTTTTTCGGAGGAAGTAACCCTCCCTCATTAATCACCAAGGTTTTTCCAGTTTTGAATCTTAACTTAGCCTCATGATCAAACACCAAATTTGCGTCTCCGAAAGCTGGAGGAGATGAATCTTGATTCGAACGAGGAAGGATTCTAACAGCAGATGACGATGAAAGTCGACCATATCCGACGTCGGAAGATGAAGGCCGACGGCCCTCCACTGTCATCGGTGGAATGGACGACTTGCGGGAAAACAAAAATTCAAAAAATCAGTTTTTTCCCTCCTAAAAACTGGGAGCTTCTCTCTCTAGAAACCGGGAGCCTATTTAATCAGTTTCTGATTTTTACAAATCTTTCTAGTATGGACATCCCCAAAAGCATATGAAGTATTAAATGTACCTAAATTGAGATATGCTTTTCATGAAGACTTGCAGGCATTAAAAAATGAGATATGAAAATTCTTGACCTCTCCAAATTGAAAGAAACCTTTTGGGTGCAAATTGATTTTCAATATCAAATACAAGACTAATGGGAATATTAAAAGGTTTAAAGCTAGACTAGATGCAAAAGAGTTTACTCAAAATGTAGAATTAATTATCAATTAATTTTTACGTATTGCTAATATTAATTAAGTACAGGTTATTATTTCGCTATTGCGTGCCTGGACTAGCCATTTTATCAACTAGATACTGGATAATAAAAAGCCTTTCTAAATTGAAATCTTGAAGATGAGGTCTTCATAATTATATCAATTTAGTTTGAGGCCACTGACCCTAAAAATAAGATCTTTAGACTCAATAAACGTTTATATAGTCTGTAGCGATCATCATGAGTTTAGTTCGATAGATTTATGATGGACCGGCTCACCCGATCCGGCCTGGACCTGTGCGGGTCTACAGGCGGAAGAGAGGGGGGCGGGCGGACCGGCTGGACCAAGGGGACCCACCCACTTAAGTAGGGGTATTTTGGGGATGGGAGGAATTTTGGGATGGTATGAAGAGGGCCATTAGGGTTTAGTTTTGGGGATCATGAAAAGCAAAGTATCTTTCTAGTTTTCTTCTCTTAGTCTTCTTCTTGTTCTTTTCTAGGGTTTTCTTGTGGGAGATCTTGTCCTTCTCGAAGTGGACAAACTTATTTTGTTTTCTCTTGGCTTTCTAATGCAAAGGTTCTTGTTTTTCATCCTAACTCTCTTGTGATTGTTTCTCTTTGATTTTGGTGGAGAAATTCCTCTCTTTTGGGGGAAATTAGGGCAAAATCGAAATTGTGAAACCCTAGGGCGTATCAATTTGGTATCAGAGCTCTCGATCCTAGACGGCATGGCATCAAAGAAGGTAGAAGTTTTGGAGGGAGAGATGGGCCAATTGAAAGAGGAAGTGGGTGAGAAACTTTCTTCGTTGGAGGGAAAATTCTCAACCTTAGAGGAGAGATTTGGGGGAATGGAAGAGATGATCCGGAAATTGTTAGGAGCCCAAGTTGCTCCATCAAATCCTAAGAAAAAAAGGAAATCTCCGGCGATGAACCCTAACCCTAACTCTAACCCTAATTTTCCAAATAGGGAAGGAGTAAATCAGAGTGAAGAGGGCATGCAAGGGCAATGGTCAAGTGAAGGGGGAGAAGGGTCTGGAGTGGGCGGACCATGGGGGATGGCCGGTGGTCAAGGGGGCTGGCCATACATAGGCTCGGTGGGCTCTCACGGCACACGAGAAGGGTGGCCGAATCAGATGGGGGGGTTTCCGGAAGGGAACCGTACCACGTGGGAGCAGGGAGGAAGAAGGGATGACTATGGCATGGGCTATGGAGAGCCAAGAGAACCACCATGGAGGGGGATTCAAAATCCTTACTCGGTGGAGTGGAGGGGAAGACCACAAGGAGAGGGATTTGCTCAGGGGACATGGGGAGATGGAAGAACCTTCCACCGAACTGACAACCACATGAGGAAATTGAAGTTTCCTATTTTTGAAGGGGAGGATGCTTATGGGTGGATTTACAGGGTGGAGCGCTATTTTGCAGTGAATGGTGTTACAGAAGAAGAGAAGTTGATGGCGGTTCCGGTCTGTTTAGAGGGGAAGGCATTGGCTTGGTTTCAATGGCTTGAAGGGAGACAACATGTTAGGAGTTGGGAGGAGTTCAAAGACCTCCTACTTCATAGATTCTGAGTGTCCAGCGAGGGTACACACTATGAGCAGTTGGTAGCTCTAGTGCAGGAGGGCACAGTGGCAGAGTATAGGGAGCATTTTGAGCTACTCTCAGACAGATTGAGAGGTATTCCAGACAACCTTTTGGAAGAAAATTTCATGAAGGGGTTGAAGCCTCACATTAGAGCAGCCATCAGAGTAGTGGATCCACATGGATTAGTAAAGATCATGGAGATTGCACAGCTTGTAGAGGACAAGCTGAAGGTGGAGCTACCGAGGCGATCAGGGGTGCCTTACCCCACTTACCGACCACCACTCATGATTGGAGGCACAAAGGCGGCTACCATCCTTTCTCCTAGGGAGGTAACCAAGGTGAAAACCACTATGGCAGTGAACTAAGGGGGGTTCAAGAGATTAACTGATTCAGAGCTGAAGGAAAAAAGGTCCAAGGGCCTTTGCTACCGATGTGATGAGAAGTTTACACCGGGGCATAGGTGTAAGGAGAAGACACTACATGTGATCATAGTGGGGGATTCAGAGGAGGAGGAAGAGGACAAAGGGGCAACTGAGGAGGAGGGAGAAGAGGAGGAGCACCATCATTTGGCTATGGTGGAGGTTTCACTCAACTCCATAGCAGGACTGACATCACATTCCACCATGAAGCTGGAAGGGGAGATTGCAGGGTACAAGGTGATGGTTCTGATTGATAGTGGGGCCACCCACAACTTCATTGCTTGCAGATTGGTGGAGAGGGTGGGGCTACCAGTGACACAGGGGAGAGGTGTCGGAGTCATTTTGGGCACGGGAAAGAAGGAGCGCTGTAGCGGGCAGTGTAAGGGAGTGACCCTTACATTGCAAGGAGAGGAGACAGTGCAAGACTTTCTACTGTTGGACTTGGGAAGCACTGACGTGATACTAGGGATGCAGTGGCTCCAGTCCTTGGGTGAGATGAAGGTAAACTGGAAGAAGTTATATATGGAGTATGGGAAGGGGAGCAGGAGAGTGACACTACAGGGAGACCCCAGTTTATGCAGATCCAGAGTGGCCTTGAAGTCCATCTTCAAAACTTTGAGAGATGATGGAGAGGGAAAGAGGGCCATTAGGGTTTAGTTTTGGGGATCATGAAAAGCAAAGTCTCTTTCTAGTTTTCTTCCCCTAGTCTTCTTCTTGTTCTTTTCTAGGGTTTTCTTGTGGGAGATCTTGTCCTTCTCGAAGTGGACAAACTTATCTTGTTTTCTCTTGGCTTTCTAATGCAAAGGTTCTTGTTTTTCATCCCAACTCTCTTGTGATTGTTTCTCTTTGATTTTGGTGGAGAAATTCCTCTCTTTTGGGGGAAATTAGGGCAAAACCGAAAATTGTGAAACCCTAGGGCATATCAATTTATTGCTATTTTATTAAATGGCCTGGGCACTTTCGAGGACATTGAACAGACTGTTAGTTTTGGAATAATAAAATGTAAAATTATTATCCTGATTATTTATGTTGACTTAACTGGCAACAGTGAGAAAGAGATTGGCTGATAAAAAAAAAAAAAGCAAATGGTTTGAAATTAAAGATATTGGGTCCTTAAAATATTTCCTTGATGTAAAATTTATTTGATCAAGCAAAGTTATATTTGTCACTCAACAAAAGTGTACATTGGATCTCCTAAAAGAATCCTATATGACATAACGCAAGCTTGAGATTACCCCAATGGATCCTATGAATAAATTTTGGTCCAAAGATGATACAGCACAAGTTGACAAAGATATCAATGCTTAGATGGAAAGCTCATTTATCTTTCCCATTCTAGTCCATGAATAAAATTGGGTCCAATATTTATACACCACAAGTTGGCAAAGAAAGATACCAATTCTTAGTTGGAGAGCTCATCTATCTTTCACATTCTAGTCTAAAAATCCATTTTCTAGTAATTGTAGTTAGTTGATGTATGAATGCCCCTATATAGGAATATCTTGATGCTCTCTATAGAATATCTTGATGCCCCTATATTCTTGTTATTGTAATATCTTTTCACTTTTTGAATGGCATTTTTCGTTGGAGTTGTGCAGTTTCACTATACTCTATGTATATTCTTCTTCTGGAAGTTCATACTTGGCTTTGAAAAGAATTGCCATGTCTTCCTAAGCCCTGAAAAATTTTTGTTAATCGATAGCCCAAATGGAGTTATGTGAGGGTTTTATGTTTCATCCAAGAAGCTAATGAGTGGAGGATCTACGAGTGAGGAGCTTGAAGAGTATCTGCTGGTTTGTAGAGGAGCCAAATCACTATAAATGCTCGAGTATTAATTTTATCTCTTTTGCACTCTCTTTGCATTAGCATTACACGCTGTCTTCATCCTCTTAGTAAAATGGGCATGGTTTGATGATGGATGTGATTAAGTGATGACTTAATTTTGTTCGTTCCATTTTGTGCTAGATTTGACCTTAAGTAAAATTTAGCAACAAGGTTCACTTACATGGTCTAGCCATTAATGCATTTTGAAGCAACACAATCTTGACTTATCAGAGTAAGCAACTTTTGTGAAAGTGTATTCTCTCCACATTGTAAACTTTAACTGCATGTTAATTAGAGTTTTGTGATAGTTGTCATCATCCTTTACCATGCTACTATTTTGTTTCTTATATGTGGATTGATGAGACTTTTTGTTAACTAGGTTCATACGCACCTATGGGACTCATATAATAGTGGAAATGGGTCTTGGAGGTCAAGATGTAATCTGTGTTAAACAGAATCATGTTTCATCTGTATCACCTACAGACGTTAAAATACATTTGGAGGACCTTGGAGACTTGTTATTTTCTGATGGAAGGGGTGCTTCTCCTCTAAATCAGAAAACCAGAGGAAAGAACAAGGTAAATAATTTAGTTAACATTCTTGATCGCTTCTTAAATTGTCATACTGTTGATAAACACAGTCCTCTTATAAAGGTTCCAGACGTGTTCTTCAAAATTTTGCAATCAAACAACTTTCTGCTGACCAGTCATTCTGAAAGTTCAAGCAAAGATGTAAGTATTGCGAATCCCACTCTAATCAGGTTGTTCAATGTTATAAAAAATGAAATTTTTTAACAGGGGCTTACCATAATTTGCTCAAAGAGGGGTGGAGATCCATATTTATGCAGCCATTCCAAATGGCTGCAGACAGTACATAATAAACCCGATGCAATACTGTTTAAGTTTGTTCCTATCACTTCTCTTCTCACTGGCATCCCAGGAAGTGGTTATCTTAGCCATGCAATCAACTTGTACCTTCGTTGTAAGTCCTCTACTAAAGATGAAATTGATGTCTGTTGCTTGTTGCATTGCTATTATAGTAGGGGTCGCCATGTAAACTTGATTTCAGCTGCTAAACTGTGGTCCCTTTTTTTCTTTTTTTTAAGTTAATGTATCTTTATGGCTATCTTAATGTATCTTTTGTCCTTTTTTAAGTTAATCATTTCTAGATTATCTTCTTACTTCTGCATGTTCAAATAATTGCATTTATTCATGATTTCTTGTTCTTGCAACATAATCAGATAAACCCGATCCTGATGCGTTACAGCACTTCTTGGAGTTCCAAGTTCCACGTCAATGGGCACCACTTTACAGCGAACTAACTCTTAGTCTTCAACATCCTCAACAAAGGAAATCCTATCCAAAACTTCAATTTAGATTTCTTGGTCCTAAACTTCACATCAATACAACCCAGGTATTATAACCATTCTAGTTATTTTGGCACAATAATTACAGATAATTTAATGCTATTCATGTTACACTCTTCCCACAGCATAAGTTTTTCTTATCACGAAATAGTCAATTAGAAACTTTTGATTGCTCGTCATTTAACTCCCAAAGAATTTTTTGTTTCTTTTGTTCCTCTTGTAGATAATCTTGCTCATTTTTCTATTGAAGATGTTTCAGTTGCTTCTAAAGCCTGGGTTAACTCTGGTAGGCTATTCCTTAGGTAAGGTGCCTTATGAGGCGTTGGGTTCAGTCATGTTGAAAACATGGAAGTTAAAAGGTATGCTTGATATTCTTTTGTTAAGAGAGGGCTTCTTCTTGCTTAAGTATTTTTGTCCGGAAGGTTTTGATTTAGTTTGGACTGGGGGTCCGTAGTTTTTCTTTGGAAAACTGTTTATTATTTAACGCTGGTCCCCTTTATTTCGTCCTAAAAAAGAGGAGTTTGTTTCGATTCCTCTTTGGATCAAAATCTTGGACCTTCTATTGGTTTGTTGGACATCTGAGGGAATTTTGAAGATTGCTAGTTTGTTAGGTGTTCCTAATGCTGTGGATTCCCTTACAACAAAACTATCGAGGCTTACATTTTGTTGTATTTGTGTTTTGATTAATAAAGAATCCCGTATTCCTGAGAAAATTAAAGTCTCTGTGACTGGGAACGTTGTTACTCCGAAGGTTGTCTATGAAAACCTATTCCTTGTTTGGGTTGTGGTTCAATTGTTCATCCTTCATCCTTATGTCCCACTAATCTCCAATCTACAACTGTTTGGAAAGAACCCCCAAGGGGTAGAAGCCGGAGTTGGAAGGTTTTGAGGGCTTCATCTTGTCTTTTCCATCCTGTCCTTCTGGTCCTAGTATCACTAATATAGCTCCTAACTCGTCTTCTAAACCTAATGATTTTAATGTTCCTGAAGTTCAACTAGGTTCATGTATTACTAAGCCATTAGAAGCCTCCTCTTTGGTGTGAGAGCTGATATTCCTAACTTGAATTCTCCTACATAAGATTTTCCTAATGACTCCATAGTTGTACATTCTCCAAGAAAATCTTCCCTAGAAACCAACCTTAATAATAAATTTCATGTCCTACAGTCTATAAATTTATGTTCTATAGAGAAGCGGAAAGATTCTTAATTCATCTAATGGTAAAGTGCTTGAACAACTAGTCATTAAGCTGTTGCTTGTTTTGGGTAAGTCTTCTAGGGCCAAGAATGCCAGGAAGGCAACAAATTCTTCTATTAAGTATTAATATATTTTCCTAATATTGCATCCTGGATTAGAGTTTTTAACAGTTTGGATAAGGTCACAATTTGTAGAGATCTTGTTCATAGATTTAATGTGGATTTTTTCTGTATTCTTAAAGCTAAAGTTAATTTTGATTTGGTTGATGACCCTTGGTTTTCTGAAAGTCATAGGGTCTTTCAATAGGAAGCTTGTTGTAATAACTTTTGTTTTTCTGATCCTGGGAGGATTTGATTGAAAAAGAACGCTTCTTGTGTTTGTTTTACTCCTATTTTCTCTACTAGTGACTTATTCATGACCCTTTGATGGTTGGCTCTTCTTTTTCCTTATTACAGCTGTTTATGCTTCTAATTTTTCGATTGAGAGATTAGTCTTATGTAAGAATATTCTTAATTTAGCTACTAACATTTCCTCTCTTTGGGTTTTGTTGGGAGACTTTAATTGTTGTAGATTCTCCAAAGAAAAATCGAGGTATTGCTATTTCTAGTAGCAAGTTGTGGGAGTTTAATAATCTTATTTTTAGTTTTGGTGTTCAAGATCTTTCTTCTGTTGGACATTTCTATACTTGATTTAATCAAAGAAGTGATTGCCCCATTCATATTAAGCTTGACAGGGTCTTGGGGAATGATCATTAGTTGGAATTGTTTCCTTCCTTTTATTGCGTGGATAAGCCGAGGTGCTCTGATCACTCTCTTCTTTGTTGCAATAATTATATGGTTAATCAAAGTCATATATTTATTTTTTAAAATTTTCGGTGCAAAAAGCTTGAGTTCTGGAATTTACTTTTTAAATTTTTTGCTTCCGCTCATGTGGGAAGTCAAGTCCTATTAATGATCTGTACTTGAGGATGTGTAGGCTTAAATGTTGTATTAAGAAACATCCTTGGGTTTCCTCTAAAGACGGTTTTGCATCTATTGAGTCTCTCCAAAAGAAGCAGAGTCTTTTGTTGCAGCAGATTTAATGTACTCATCTTGATCAGCAGCTTAATGAATCTTTAAAGGAGGTGAATTCTCTTAGTAATCACAATTTATCATTATGGTCCTCTTGGCTTATTCAAAGATCTAAAGTTAGGTGGCTTTCTTGTGGAGATGATAGTTTGAGTTTTCTTTATTCTAGAATTAGATGCAGGCATAATAGGAGCATAATCAAGGATATTTTCACCTCTGATGCCTTTGTTCAACATTTTTTTAAAATTCTCTAAAGCCTACTCTTGTTACTTCTAATTCTATTCATGGTGGTAGAACCATTCTTGATGTTCTTATACCTTCTCTGATGGCTCCTATTATTGAAGAGATTAATAAGGTAGTTTTTTCAGCTCCAAACTCACCAATTCCGGGCCATGTTGGTTTTACTTTGGAATTCTTCAAAAATTCTTGCGAGATTGTGTGTTCTTTTTTCTGTAAAACTGTCTTGCATTTTTTCTCACTTATTTCATGCCTAGGGTAGCAAAAGAATTGGCTATTGCTCTTATCCCTAAAAGTATTAATGCCTCCCTAATTATTGATTATAGGCGAATTTTTTTGTGCAATGTTTTTTTATAAAACTGTAGCAAAAATATTGATAAATTGTATGTGAAATATTATGCCTTTTATCATTCATCTTAGTCACTGGGGTTTATTAAAAAGAGGATTTCTTCTGATTTATCTTGCTTGCATCTGAAATGTTAAGGGAAATTAATAGTAAAGCTAAAGATACATACTTCTGTGCTAATCTTCAAATTCACAAGGCTTTTGATAATATTCCTACAGATTTTCTTTTATATAGGATGGCCCAAAAAGGTTTCGCAAAGCAGTCATGCTCCTATTGCATCAGTCTGAACTTCCAGGCAATAAAATAATTAACTTTTTCATCTTTGGTCACTAATTATTTTGGACTCAAGTGGATCTTTTATTGCATCTTGAGTTTGTGTTGGAGTTTTACCATGTCTAAATTATCATATGCGTCAGCTTTTTATAGTTGGAATACGAACTATTTGTTTTCGTTATATTTTCTCATTATTGGGAATATTATTTGTATGTTCATGCATGCTTATGTAGGTAATTCATAGGTACTAAGCAGGTTCCCCTTTGAGTAATTTGGTAAAGAGGAGTGCTGTTAAACATCAATACATTTCATTAGATTCTAAAGTGGTACAAACAAATTGTGAAGCATGGGCTACCAACATGAAGGACCAATTTACAATTGTCAAAGTCTACCTAAGAAGAAGAAGATCTCCAAAAGAGTAGATCTTTGTAACATATTTAAGTGATCTACAAATATGTAATAAAATTTTGCTTTCTTTTGTTCTTTTAAGTAAGGTAGACCAAGTCTACCTATTTTTAAAGCACAAGAATACTTTCCATTTGGAAGGTCCGGCTGCTATTTTGTATAAATGATTTAGGATGAAATGTCTTTTTCTTTCTTGGTTTTTTTTTTAATGTTTTCCTTACAACAATGATTTAGTTTTTCTTCTTATGAGGATTTATATAAGAGTCTTTCAAAATTAACCCATCTAAATTCTATTTTGGATTATCAAACATCTTTTGAGAATCTTGTATTTAAAGTTTCAAATCTATCAGTGTCTACCCTTGTTAGGTATTTTATTTCTGAATTTAAACAAAAAATTATGATAAGAACTTTTATTTGCTCGAACTACTTCTATTTTGGATGCAATGGAACTCGCTAGGCGTCAAGAATCCAAAATTCAAGATTTTTTTCTACCCCATCTTCACATTGGTGAAAATCAAATCCTTCTTATCCATCCACCAAGATTACACCTCCTACCTCTCTACCCTCATCCAACAACAACCCCTCTTACTCGACCCAACCTTCTCTCACCATCCATAAAACTCATAACCTCCCAATCCATAAACTCTCCTATGCTAAAATTTAACATAGATGTGAAAAAGGCCTTTGTATTAATTGTTATGCAAAATCTGGTCCCCAACATTGTAGCCCCATGCTTTAAAATTGCGCAATATGAGGCTCACCTTGAGGCCCGCCTTTGTGCAATTTCAGTAAAAAAACGCCTCGATGCTTACGCCTCGAATTTTTTTTATGAGGCTTGCACCTCAACTTGGTTGAGGCCCGCATTGAGACCCGCCTCGCCTCACTGGCATGAGGCTTACGCCTCACGCTATATACATTAAAACTTACATAAATCTTGAAGTAAATGCCCGACATTGGACTCTATAGGAGAGGAAGGGGAGAGAGCAGTTCACCATAATGATGATTCAAATGAAGAACCCCTTAGTGATAACAATGCTGATGACTTATGAGTTCTTATATGATATGTCATTGCTATTTATTTTTGGAAATCAGAATTATATGTTAATGAAAAGAATAATGGGATTTCGGAAAGATAGAATTTTGAGTTGAACTATATTTCATGTTGTCTTATAATTGAGATATTTTGATTTCACTTCATATCTTATGCTTTTTTATGTTTTTATATTATTCACTCATTAGTATATTACAAATTTATCATTTTATGTTTACGCAATCTTTTGATTTTGAGGCTTACGCCTCAAAACGCTTTGAGGCATACGCCTCGCCTCACAAATGAAAACGCCTCAATACCCGAATACGCAATTTTAAACATTGTGTAGCCCCAATAATTTTACTTATTACTTGGCACTAACGAACAATGAATGTAGAGTCCCCTCCCTCTTCTCTTGATATTGATGATATTCACTATCTTTCTTCTAAAATTAGTTTTAATGCCTTAGTTGGGCAATTTAATCCTCGTTTTTT